AGGCAGATCACTAATGGAAAGAGAGATGGAAAAAATCAGTTAGACACAGCCAAAGTAAAGCTTTTAACTGCTACCTGAGAATATCCTTCAGAGTCGGTTAACTCAGTGTAAACTAACGTGTTTATCCCTCTGGAGAGATTTCGTAGCTAAATTTGGACTGATTAAAGAGAGCTTGAGTCATTCTTCTCTTTAGATGCCATCAAGTCCTGGAGGACTTGGGAAAACAGCTCCTAGTTAGGATTCAGATGGAAAAATACTCCTAGAAATGTTTTTATGAATATGCATCAGCCTTGGGTTCTCAGTGTTTTTATTGGACCACAGAAACAAATAACCATTAAAATCTTGAAATTGACCAGTCATGCTTCAGATTCACCTTTATGAGTTCCTTTAATCATCAGCTTCCTATACATTCCTTCCATGAAGAGCTGCCATGAAGAGATCAGTGTTTTTTTCTGAAAAACTCCTTTCTGTAGTCACCAGGAGACACTTACTTTGACGTCACCAGGAAACATGATTTTCCGGATTTGTCCTGGAAGAGTTTGCATCCTGGGCAAATGTATCCAGTGCAAATTGTCAGCATTTTCCTGACTGCAGTTCAGGCTGCACAGGATTCTGATTTTCTTCTCTTAATTGAAATTCACCTTTTGAAAATGACATTTCCGCATTTCGGAATCCATGGCTTCCTTATCTTTGGTTTCCCATGGATCCTTGGTGCTGCAGGAAGGCAGAAAGTAATCTAAATGATGGCGAAAGGCTCCCTGGGAATTGTATGAAATTTCCGACTCCCGGCTTGATCCACCGGCCAAGGAAATGAAGTACGAATGTATTTATAAAAAGAGAGTAAGTGCTGTTTGGGGCGTTCCTAAATTTAGCAAGGTGAGTGGCGGTAAGTGATCACGTTCTGCTGGAATCCTCCCTTTAGAGGCAGGGGTGCTCTGCTGATTCAGCACGTTGGGGTTTTGCCTCTGGGTCCAGCGAATTCGGAACGAACCCCATGTGTTTGCGAGCCACTCGGAAGAATCGGTGACCGTAGATGTTCAGTTTGAGAGGAGATGTTGGGTGGGGGGCTGTGTGATGGAATAATATCTCTGTCCTGTCGTCTCTGACTTTTAAGGCTCAGAAATACTGCAGCTTTGAATGGACGGGTGACGTCAGGAAATGCAAGCACGTGGACGGCAAACGGTCCGTCAGCAGCGACTGACGTTCGCCGGTGCTGTCTGGCGGGGCGTGGGCGTGGCCGGCCTGGCTATATCCCTCCCCGGCCCACCGAGCGCTCGCCCCGTGGCGCTCTCCAAGCTGTCGGAGGGCATTAGATAACAAGCGAGTCCCATTAGCGTCGCTAAACCGCTCATTAGCGTCGAGAGCCCAAGAAGCCCGGAGCCTCCCATCTTTTTCCGCCGCACTCTGGTTGGCGTGGAAACACCAGGCAGATGTCCAACCAGCACTGCTCTCTCTCTCTCTATATATATATATATATATATATATATTACAATTACAGACAGTGAAGTGAGCCATTATGAAGCAAGCGTGACCCCAAGTCATGCAATGATGTCACCGGCGTGAAATACCAGGTGCCCAGGCGTGAACCGCAGTCACTCTAAGACTGTGAAATGTAATAATTAGCACTCTTAATTAGCTGTCTTCCTGGGCCCCAGACTCGTCAGCGTGATGGAATGCCATGCCTGTTTAATGCTGAGATCATCCCCGCCACATACATCCTTCCTGCACCACCCCCCACCCCCTCACCACCCCCCAAAGGAATTGGAATCAGATTGTAGGGAGTAGGGGGGGGTCCATCTTTACAACCCTTATAAGTGGAGTGGGAGGAGAGGAGGCATTAATGTGGGGCAGTATCTCACCCCCTTCAGATTCACAGCCCTTTGGCCTGACTTGTGTTCCCAGAGTCGGTTATACAACAATTAAGAGCAGCCCTGTGATTGGCTTAAGCATGGAGCGCCACCTACACCGGAGCCCTGTGATTCGCTTAAGAGGGGAGCTCTACCTACATCGCAGCCCTGTGATTGGCTTAAGCAGGGAGCTCCATCTACACTGCAGGCCTGTGACTCTGAATGTCTGAAAGGTCGCTGACTGGGCAACCTAGGGCCGAACCCCAACTCGTAATGTTGGGGTGGGGGGGGGACATGTGTCTAGTTCCTCAGACACTCCATCTGAGTTAATACAATTAATTTCATGTATAATTATAACACACAAGTCAATCTATGCAACAAAGTGTCCTATGATTAAATAATTTGATAATTTGGCCAGATGATTGGGAATGTGTGAAGGATGCAAAGATGAACAGAATTCCTATAAAGAGAGAGAGAGAGAGAGAGAGAGAGGAAAGCATACAGTGGCGTTGGTGTGCTGTCAGTTTGGCCCCTGAATTTCTTAGTATTAGAAAATTAAATCTTGATTCTGTTGTAATACCTTATTTATGATATAATGTGTGCATCTATGTGTTAAAATCTTGTGTCTGCATGATGATGATGATGATGTGTGAGTATTTTTATATTAATATAAAGCAAGGCCCATACCAACAAACAGACTGACCCCACCCTTCCTAAATTCCACTTTAAATTCTAGATTGTATCCTTATTCCAGATTTTATTCTTGGTTAACCTGGAATAACAGAAATCGGCAGCAGGCTCCTTAAGAAGCAGCTGGGCTGGAGTGATGCCCCATCGGGCATCCTCAGGGTCCTAGTGACCTGGGAGTGGATTAGGATGGACCCACACTTATATAGCGTTAAGCTGTGGGGTTAAGAAGAGCAAGATACTTCCTGGTACAAGGGCGGCTTGACATGTGGATACCACTGACTGCACCGGCCTTCTGTGGAGCTCATTGGCAGCGTCTGTCCCAGAATGCACAGGGCAGCAGGCTGGGGTACCTCCTGATGCCAAGCCAGTCCATCTCAGATCATTCACAGACCCACCAAATGCATTTCTACCACTAAACTGATTCTGTCATGCTTTCCTAGACACCTTTGTTATCCACTCCTGTATTTCCAAGGTTGTCAATAGTGCTTGAATAATAAGAAATAAGAAATAAACACATTCAGCAGTATATCAAATCCACCAATGTGCAGTCAATATGTATCTCTGCGACCCCAAAGTATTCTGGGTATAACCATGAATTTGTTTCCAGTCACACAAGTTTGTGCTTATTAGATGGGTCCAGTGATGTAAATCGTTCATTTTCGGGATCATTAAGAACGGCATCAGACGTGAAATGTACCGCCCCCGACTCACGAATCGCCATCTTCCGGGTGCATCTGTCTGGCGGCGGAGACCATCAAGGACGATGAGCCGTTCCAGCATGCGCTGTTTTGTGACATGTTGAGCGCACGCTCTAAAAAACGGTGCATGGAGGTCAGGGGTGACGTGCCACTGGAAGTAAGAAAATCTCTGCAGTGGCAGAATCCTGCTTTTTCACTGTCAGCCTTGGGATGGAGTACAGACATGCTTTAGAGACGTCCAACAGTGCTCTGCTCCCTCTTCTTAACCGAGGGTGTGCAGTGAACATGTTAATGGGGCACAACAAAATGAAGGGTTTGCTGTGTTTGAGAACATTACAGTTTTAAACAAAGTATGTTTGGTGTTTGTCCACTTTGATAAAGCATCGTCTATAACCAAGGTTACCCGGCTTCATTTCGTAATCGTTCAGAACAACCGCATTGTTTGCAGAGGCCAGTTTTTGAGTCTGTCGTAGATGGGGTTCTAGATCTGTCAAGGCTTTCATTTTAGTTTCCCGGGCTTTGTTGGAGAGGCGTATTGAGGAGATCCAATCTGCTCAGAGGGAGATGGCATTGTTGCCGATGTGAATAAAGCCTATTGAGAAACACATTACTCTCTGCAACATCTGGATTGTGTCGTTTACTGCACAATTCCCAGATTAAAACACAAGCGTATTTGTCATCGGAGAAAACCTTAAGTAAATGCATGCACGATGGATCAATTCAATCAAGATTCAATTCAATTCAGATGTTTACCATGTGCTATACAGTACAGTGAAATAAAGATCATTGAACGGTGCCTTAAATGCTATTTAAAAATGGGAGCAAAGGGAAGTATTTAGTAGTAACAGCAACTGCAGCACTGTGTATCTTGGCACTCTGTGCCACAATCGCACTCCATCTCACCACTAGTTCCCCTTAATTACTAGCTGGTCACCACTGAATCAGACTCTAAGAGAGGCATCTTTGTCTTGCGAATTGGACCACATAATGCGCATCTGAGGTCTGAGGGGTCAGAGCAGAGCTTTAAAGAAACACGTCCTTCAAAAGTAACAAGACACGCAACCATTCTTCCAATTCTTCACTTTCTTTGGCCTTATGAAGGTCATTCCTCAGCCTTCTGTTTTCTTATTAAAAGCTCCTTTATGAGTGTCTAAATAAAAACCCAAAGCAACACTAAAGGTAGCCTGCAGAACAAGGCTGGCGCAGACTGAAAGAGAGATTCTGCTATATGAACAAATCGCCGCAAATCGAAAGGGAAAGGCCTCTTATGGTGTACAAAACAGGGCTTCTCTTCTAAGTCGCCCTGTTTGATTCTCAACCAATGTAAGACGTGGCAGTACCGGATTGACAGCGAGGATTAAAAGATATTTTCCTATTCAGTTGGAGTAAATTGGTTTCGGATTAAAGCTGATTGATTGCCATTCAGGTATACTGGAGTCAGTGAGAGACATTCAGCCAGAACACAGGAATTTGAGTGCAACTACTGTTGGATACCAACCCAGATAAAAATCGATAGACATTCAAAGGCGGGTAATAATTACCCACGATTCTATAACCTCTATATAAGTGGAGCACTTGATGTTTCCCGTAAAGCTAATTTTCTTAGTTACAAGTAAATATCATATAAGTATGGGGTTGCACTTGGTTATAATTATAGGTTCTTTTTAGTTTTTGATACTTCTTAAGGTCTCAGTTCAAGTGTTTAAAATGCGCCAAAATAGCCACATGAAATTGTACAAGCACCCATTTATCGTTAGTTGTCATATTTTTTGCACAAATTGTATTTATTCCATCATTCCTTACACTAAAATGGACTCCTGCACTTTTTGTACATTTATCAATCACATACACAATACAATAACATGCTCATTGTATATTTATCAAATGGACTGAATGTGACCATTGTCTTGTCTTAACTGTGTATCTACTGCATGTATGAGAGTCATAGGCAAATGGAGATTCCCTGTTTGTGTGAACATACTTTGGTTTAACATACTTTGCTTAGAATGACTTTTGCATTACTTTTTTTAAGGTAGCAGTGCACCATCATAGCAATGTTAATTAGCTCATGGGAGTTTTACCTCAGAACATACACATATGTTCTGAGGGGATAATGGGAAATGATTGGTTCAGAGAGGTAACCAATCAGACTGTAGAGGAGGTGGGTCCATGCAAATTGAGGAGGTGGTACCAAGACATCTGATTGTTACATTCCACCTCCTCCACAATCTGATTGGTTACCTCTCTGAACCAATCATTTTTCATTCTGCCCTCAGAAAATGTTTGTGTAAGTAAAACTCCCATGCACTGTTAACTAATTCATCCATCCATCCATCCATCCATCCACCTGTCCATCCTCCATAACTCCTTATCCAGTACAGGGACTGAGAGAGCCAGCAGCCCATCCCTGGAAGCACAGAACAAAAAGTAGGAACATTAATTTAGACAGTATTGAGTGCATCACACTTATAATATACGGAAACTCTAAAAATATTCCGGTTCAGGTTGCTGGTGAATAAGCTGCGGATTAAAAAAATACGCACTCCTGCCATACCGGCTGTCTGCAGCTTACGGGGTCGACTTGAACTTCTGCACTTTCATTATCCAGGACTAACATCAGCGGGTTGTTGGGTCGGTACCCTGCTTGTCTGCAGTAAGGAGATGGGTGAGGGATCAGTCACTCATATTTAGCTGCTGTTTAATTTTCAGTGGGGGGAAAAAAAAACATGAATGGGGGTGTCGTGGGCAGGCTGTCAGATCTGCGGATGCCACAGGATGCTAGAATATAAAAGGCTGGGTTCCATGCATGCGGGTAACTGTCAGCAGATCCAGGGAATTGAGTCGTTCATTTGCAACGCCGTTCCACCTTTGTGTTACACCAGAATCCCCCCCCCCCCCCCCCCACCACCTTGACACGCTATCAAATCAATATGCCTGTGTTTTCGAGGCTAAAAGACAGCGTGCGTTCCAGAAGTGCTATTTGTACATCAGAGGAGGTGCTTCGAGGCGCGTGATGCGCAGTGAAAAGACGCAACAAGCGTTCTCTAGATCCACGTCACGCAAATTTCAGGCACTTACTTTCTCTCTCATGGGCCTGGACACCTCTGTGTCATCATGTGACAGCGCAGCAAAGGCGGGCTGTAGTATGTGATTAATCCTCATTTCACCACTGACATCGAGAACATTCCTGATGGGGAATCCTAGTGTTTCGTTCTGTTTCCTCACCGGAATCTTCTGGAATGACGTCAGTCTAAAATCACTGCATTTCTCCATGCCAGTGCTTCTGAAACTGGTACTCGGACACGATACATTTCTGCAAAAATGTGAACTGTCTGGCTGGAAGCTGTCTGGCAAAAATTGGACTGTATCGGGATCCCCAAGAAGCAGGTTGGGAAACAGTGATTGTTCCCCGGATGCCTTGGTAGAGAACAGACCTAATAACTATCCGGTGCTAGTTATTTTTTTTTTAACAGGGAAGGATGGTATTTGAACTGGTGACCAGCTGAGCCACATACCTCCCCCCATGAAGTTGTTGGGTCACATAAGTAACTTAGCTTGCCAAACAACAGGTACCAAGTATATTGAAAGATGGTGACAGCAGGGTCACTTAGGGGCCTTCACAGGACACTCGCATCACACACCCAAACTCGCTCACAAAGTCACATTCAGACCTTTAACAGCATTTCTCTTTAATTTAAAATTCTGACCTACAGATGTATCCACTCAAATATCCATTACCATCCAAAGATATCCTACTGCGATATTATATGCGTTCGTATTTTGACCTTTTACACCAAATTAATGACGTGCACTTAATAAGTTACATCATCTCCTGCCTCACCTTCATCTCAGCCGTATGTGCCGCAGAGCAGTCAGTGCAGACGGCAAAAACTGCTGCTTTTCATGTTGTCCGTCCCCTGGCTCCGTGGCTGAGGCGTCCGGGCCTCGACTCCCCTGGCCACCCGTCGGATCTTCGGCCACGTCATTCGGAACCGCGAGCTGGTCTGGGTCGGCTGCTGCCCGGGAGGTCTGCTTCCTAAATTACTTACATCTGTAGCATGATATTTTTTTTTTTCCGGTTGACCTTGCGTTTCTGTAGCCCACTGAGAACATGCAGTGAAATTGTTAACAAACATCCCTTCCTGTACGCTGTAGCCTCGGCGGCCACCAGAATCAGGCTCCAGAACCTGTGAATGGGCCATCCTTGGATATTATTACCACAGGGACGGGTGCAGAGCTAGACACGTCATTTTTACTGAAATCCTCCCGTATTTAAGAGCAATAAAACATAATCCATCCATTGGTCTCCTACTCTAACTTTCCAGTACAGGGTCATGGGGAGTCTGGAATCTGTCCCAGGAGGTATGGGGCTCTTTGCCAATGGTGCCAGTCATTCACAGGCTGCACACACAATATTCACAATTTAGAGATTCCAGTTCAATAAACTGCATGTGTTTGAACTGATGGAAGAAATCAGAGCAGCCAGAGATGAGAACCTGCAAACTCCACCCCCACTGCTTTGAATGGGTGGGACCCAACAGTATCACCCATTGCACCATCCATTTCAATACTATGATTATCAAAAATCGCCAAAAATATTAGATATGTTGACTATTATTCATCCAGCTTCCTGTCCATGGTGCAGCCCAGGTGGTGATGGGCTCCAGACCCCTCTGCAATCCTGACCAGGAGAAGCAGTTGGACCAAACATTTACTATCCTGTTGCTTTCATCATGAGCACCTAACAATGCACCCATTTTAGACAGAAGGATATTTCACTTGGGCAGCATGGTGACACAGTGGTTTGCACTGTTGCCTCAAACTTCTGGCACAAGGGTTTGAGTCTCTGCCAGGGCTCCATGGCAGATACTGCAAAGCATGCTGCTCCCCTCAACGCAGAGGAACAGGAAACCTACAGGGGTTGGGTCAGGGGCTGCAGCTATCCATGTCTTCCTACCTGTAAACAGCTGAATCTGGAGGGTTATATGTCACCAGACCAGAAGCAGCAGGGCTTAGCTGTAGGATCATACTGCTCAACTGCCGAACGTGAAAACAGAGCTAAATGGATGTCGAGAGAATTCCTTTTTTCCACTCAACGAACGTCTCACGGCGTTTTCAGAAGCCGCGCTCCTGTAAACAATCGGCACGATCTGCTAACTTTGTTCTCTGCCTTTGTGGAGCTGGGACCGCGGGAGGCTCCTCAGCCGACGTCTCACGTGCCTCGCGAACTGTGTTGTGCTCCCACGCGGATCGCGAGCGCCGCTTTCCGCAGCCGAGAGCAGGTCTCTCCCGTGTCAGTCTCTCTAACGATGCAGCCTCAGATGTAGCCCTCACCGGCTCTCTCCACCCCTCGTTTACGAAAAAAAAAAGATGTTCTAATATTCAATCCCCGGCATCAAAACAACTGAATAAAAAAATGCAACGTTAGCGCTAATAACTTGGAATTTATGTAACTCTTTTTATCTGGTGTCTTTGAGCACGCCGCAGTCAGCATCTAACTTCATATGTCATATTACCCATAATGCCTTGTCCTCATGCTTGCTCTACAGTGCTGGTGACAGCGATAGGCCCACTGAGCAGAATGTGTCCCCCTGTCTAAGATTAAACCTCCTTCCTAAGCTTCAACCCCCCCCCCCATGCTGGATGTATATATAGAGCATGTCATGCTTCTCCAGCACGCTGTACGATACATGGTTAACAGGTGTAATGGCAGATAGATGGTGGAAGCCCTTCATCACAGCCCAGCGCGCTGTGCACAAGACACATCCGCTGTCCTTCCACATGCAGCTGGGCTAAAGCGAAGCCCTGTGCTCAGGGCTGGATAAACTTCTCTGGAGTCCATAGGCTGGGGTCCCAAGCAGGTCACTTGTGCTAAGGAGAAACAAGAGAGAATTATACAGATAACCACAGATGTCATTTGGGTGGGGGAGGTGCAGGCAGTAAAATTTATCGAGGCAGGACAGGGCCTCTAATTTCCTGGGTGGGGCCCCTGATTTTGCCTGGAGCCAAGGCTGTAGTGTAGCATATGCATTAATCCACACATTCCAGTGCTTTCTGTTTTATATATATATACATATATATACTTTTTGTGGCAGCTGTTTTATTGGGCCAAAATGACTCGCAGGTGCTGGGGTAGATTTTCCTAATGGCAGCTGCTTGGGTTCCTCTCCAGCTCGGGCCAACGCAAGCCCAAGGTCAGCTTCTGTGTGACCGAAGGAACAAAATACATAACTTTTTGAACTGTCATTCTGTAGCTGGCACCCCCTCGCCAAAAAGAGAAACAGACCCAGCAGTAAATTATAATATTATGATAAATACATTTGTCCCAATATCCCATGAAATTATTTTTTGTAACGGCTGTCCATATTATGCTTGTTTACAGGCTATTTTTCAGACATTTGGGTGGTTCTGAAAGCATGTAATGTGAGGTGAGGTCCACAAACATGACCGGCATTAAGACCTGAGCGACACCGGGACACTCTACACAGAGAACCGCCTCGATATCAGAACCGCCACCGGGGGGCGACATGGACGTCAGTTAAATCCCCACACCCTTTGAGAGGGTGAAGCCGGTGTCTTCCCTTGTGGAAGCACACCCGTGCGAGAGTGTGCAGGTTTGGCGTGCAGGTGAGAGAGGCACACCCCCCCCCCCGACATGTGCACAGACACAGTCACCGTGCGATGGTGTTCCCCATAAACCATCATGGATTTAAAATGGGGGGAAAAAAGCAGGAACCACACTTTGCAGCATACTCTTTATATGTTTAAAATATACAAACAAGCACGGAGTTACATGGGGCAAACATTGCCCATTAGCAAAAGGACTTGACAGCGCCAATCTCACGTCCCCCCCCCCACCCCCCTTTCGGTGCCACACAAAAAAATGTCTCCTCTTTTAAGTGCAAAACCATAACATTACCATTTCCCAGAGTGCTTTCTGTTTTAGTCTGCTTTCTAATTAGAGTGGTGATAACAGTACCATTGATTGGCATTATAAAAGAGCGACTTTGGCTCCATCTGTCCCAGGTGAGCTCCGTCACTTTCCCTCCCCCCTGCGTGTTCCTCTTCACCGTTTCAGAGCATTACCTCCCCCCCCCCTCCCCCCCAGCCTTACTGTTCCTCAAAGTTTCCATCAGAGGAATTAATAAAGATAAAAAGCCATTATGAAAAAAACAGCCTCCTCTGACACATCTTATCATTACAACCTTTTATCAAAAGTACAAACTATACAAGTAAGTTTTTTTTCCTCCCCCCTGCCTCCGTCTTACCCTCTCTCTCCCTCGCTTTTCTCCCACAGTGTCTCAAAACAGGAGAGAAAAAGGGGAACGAGAGGGAAAAAAGAGAGATTGAGCTCTGCCAATGGAGCGAATGCGCTATTAAATCTGGCTTCACTACAAAGGTTAGCAGATCCAACTGTCAATACTGTCAGAGACGAGGAGTCATGGGTGGGGGGAGGTGGAGGAGGCAAGGGGGTACCAGGCTGGTGGGGGGGGGAGGGGTGCAGGAGGGGGGGTTGCTTTGTGAGAAAGAGATACTTTGATATTTTGGAATGTTAGAAGGGTGAGTGTGAAAAATTGGAGGTTGGGGATCTAATTACCCGGCCATAATTGGGGGTTGGGGAATAGGCTGCCATCCTCTCAACTCACTGCAGATCAATTATGTTAAGAGAACATCTGTAAGTAGAACTTAATGAGGTCCATTAGAGCAACATGTACTGCCTTCTCTAACAGTGCTTGTCAGCTTCTTGGATGAGTTGGAGGAGGCTGCTGAATAGGGACCTGGAGGAGAGCTTAAATATGGGAAGGAGGTGAGGCGGCCCGCTCAGGTCTGCCTCACGCAGCAGCGGGGCGCGGAGGGAGAGAGAGAGAGAGAGAGAGAGAGAGAGGAGCAGAGAGGAGGAGAGAGATACAGCGGAGACAGGGGCAGGTGGCGGCTTGCTGTCCCAAAGACCGCTTCCGAAAAGAAGCCTTGCACCGTGGCCATCGCCGTGACCTGTGCTGAGGCTGCCACCCCCGCTAAAACTGAGCCCCCTCCCTCAATTCAGAAATCCCTGCCGGACCAAACCTGCCCTGGTATCTGTATCGACTTAGTTTAACTTTCCCTCATTTCACGCGATAAACAACAAGAGGGACAGACAGAAGAGAGAAAGAGGAGGAGATGAAAACAGAGAGATGGCTGCTTAGGCCACATTCCTTTGCTCTTCTAAACGAAACCGGGAAGCAGGAAAATCTTCACCGCTTGTCCGTTTTTTTCCGCCCAGAATTTCAACTCCCGAGAAAGTCCAGGCAAACACTTAACAACTTCGCATCTCTTCTTCCGCCGAAGCCCCCCCTTTCAGAAAAGGTAGGCTATTTATTTCCCTTTGTGTGCCGCCGGATTGGTCCGCGTTACCGGAGCTTCCCATATTTGGAGGAGGAGGATTTTAAAAAGGAGGATTAAGCAGGTGCTTCTATGGAAATGAAAAGTCCTGACGGGGAGCTAACAGGCGGCCCGGGATGGGCTAATCGGAGCAGGAAATGGCTCTTTACCGCGGCCCTTTTGGGAGGAAAATATCCCCTTGAGACGGAGTAATTAAACTCTTAATTTACTCACGGGAGAAAAAGGAACAGCTTGCCTTGCGCGAGACAACCTTTGGCTGCGGTGGCAGCATTAAGCCGGAGATTTTTTTTTCACTCTATGTTTGCCCCCCCCCATGTCTATTGGGAGAGAGAGACAGGGAGAGAGAGAGAGAGAGAGAGAGAGAGAGAGAGAGAGACCAGTGTGTTCCGGGAGGGGGGGCAACGAAATAACAAGCAGAGTTTCGCTGAGCGTTAATGATGTCCTTTTGCTAAGGTGTCAGCGGAAAACGGTTATATTCCCGGCTCCCGTAGGCTGGGAATCACCTCCTCCAAATCCACCCGGGTACTTTACCTTCACGCTCTCCCCTCTTCTTTCAATATGTTTTCCTCTGTGAATAATTCATATGATTATAAGAGCGAAGGAGGGCAAAAATGGCAGAGGGGGTTAGATCCCCCTTCATCTCCTCTCCACCCCCCACCTCCCCATTTTTTCCTCTGTTGCACGGTTTAAAACATCTGAAAATTGCACGATCGGAAAGATAGCCCACTCTAGAATAATTTAATTCATGACAAAACCTAATTACTGGCAGGTAATACCCTGTCAACTTTAATGCATTTCATCACTAATAATGAAAAGAGTATTTCATGACCCGTCTAATCGCCGTCACATTTTAGGCTGGAAATGAATGGCGTGGAGCACGTAAGTTAACCACCGGTTCTGATTTTCTCTCTTAAAATGTGCCATGGCATCTAATTTAGCCGTTTCTTTTTCTTCTTTTCATGTCTATGAAAAAACGCGGAGGTCTACACACCCAGCACATGGAGCGCTCCTGCTCTCAAGGAAAGCGGAGGGGGGGGGGGGGGTATACTTCACATGAGCTTTGGAATAATAGCAAATGGACACGTAGGTGCCTGAAACTCCGCGGGATGACGGGGCGTCCCATTAAAGGGGGCTCTTCCAGCGGAGGGCTACTGGCACCTTGGAGGGGAAACCTCAACTCCTGCAACAAACGGGCTGATGTCACTATAACGACTGGGGCCCTTCGCTCTGCTTTAATTAAAGCAGTGGGGTTTTACAAAGACACGCTGATCAGTGGCGGCAAATCGCAGAAGTTCCACTAAAGGGAAAAGCTTTATACTGTAAAACTAGGGAGAGGGGAGATCAAATAGCATCTTGCCATTATGGTAATTAATTTAATAGCGCTCATTAGCCTCGTAGTTTGCCTGCCATGGCGCTTTCTTCCTCCCGTTCTGCATGCGTATACGTGCAGGTCCTCTCTTCCTCCTTTAAAAAGCTTGTTCAATTGGCTGGGAAGAGGGGAGCAGCGTTAGTGCTTTGGGAGGCGGGGAGTGCATCCGCGTGTTGGGAAAGATGCATTGTTTTTTTTGCTACATTTACACAAACGCAGGCTTATGTAGCTGCTAGAAACGGAACATTTCGCTCAGTTCAGTTACCCGACGTCACGCTGAAGTTGGGCTTAACAGTGAGTTGTTCAAATATGCTTCTTATGATCTTATGGAGATCATCTGATATGGGCTCTGGAAGAACATTGACATTCAGATATAAATGAAAATATACTCTATGTTATTAATAGTAATTTCTCTAATGATGGTGTATAGCGTACTAAATTCATAAATATAACACTTAAAATCCATGTAGTGTTTATGATGTTTCATAGAGTAGGTTAAATATCGAATCTGTTCAAATATTGAGCATAAATCAGATCTTGATAGCTACAGAAATGGGGTTATGTAATTATAATGCTAAACATATGAAAAAAGTGTTTTTTATCACATTGATGTGTTTCTGCATAGTAAATGTAACATTTGACTAGAATAAAAATGCAAGGGACAGTGTGTGATAAACTGGCCTTAAACAAACCCGCACTGTGTCATCGTTTGCTTATTTTGGACGATTCGGAAAGGAATTAATTTACCTCCCAAGACACTGTATAATGTAATTATGTATAATGAAATGATGAATGACCGATGATAGCTGTAACATATGGTGTGAATGGGGCATTTACCTCTGTATGTGAAACTTGTAAGTTACGTGTGGATTTTACAAGAGTGTCGTATTACAATTCACCACTATGTGATTTATATATGTGAAGTGTTTGCTGTTTCACACGTACACCACTTTATAAGCTGTAGCCTACTTTCTCTATTCTGCTTATGATAATAGATTTAAATATAACAACAATTCACAACCTCATATCAGTCTATATCAGTCTAACCTTAAAACCAAAAGTTAAAAACATCATTTAGATACTAACACCTAAACTCCTCGATTAGAAAATAAAGTAGGTCACGTGAATATTTGTCAAAATAAAATTGAGGGCAAAAATGTTATATTAATTATCTATGATCCAACAAAATGAATACACACCTCAAGAAATACATTGCTACAGTTTCCGCATGCATTTCTGCAGCAAACTGTTTCTAAAATTCGCATCAAATTCATTTTGGTAGCCAATGTCTGTCAATGGCGTAAATACATAATGTGAAATAAACGATGAAATAAACAGACAATTGAGACTGATGGCCAAGCAGTGTGCAAGGGAAAATTATGTTTAAAATATACATTATATAGGGCACTAGACGTGTTTACTCTGCAGGTGTGCATGACCTCAGGCATGTTTGAAGGGGTCAGAGTGTCCCTTAAGTGGCACAGGGTTAAGACAGGGGTCTCCCACACAAAGCGCACCTGACACTGTCTCGTGCACGTGGAAAACACAGCAGATTGAGGAAAAGGCGCTTATCCAGAGTGTGTCAGTGCGCCGCAGGGGTGCTCTATTTAGACGTGTAGTCTAAAGTTAAAGCATAAAAACGTCCTGGACTGTTTTACTTGTAATTAAAGGACTGTTTTTACTCATTAAAACTTTTTAATGGATTATTCTGTACACTAAAGTGTTCTTTGTGTAGAGGTACATACTTATTGGATTGAAAAACGAAAATTTCCCTAATCATGTAAAGATCGATGTGAATTAAACAGTATTAATATCAGTGCGGTTTAAGCAATTTTATTTCTAACTTATCCGGCCGTATTTACTGGCAATCCGTCGCTTCGATTTTTGCTATCGATTTTTCTTTTTCTCCAAAGAAGTGAGACAGACGGGGGGTTTTATTTCATTGTGTGTTTGTTTATTTAATGAAGCAGTTCAATAAAGCAGTTGAAACTCCTCACGAATAAAATGCATACCGTGACACGCAAGTGCCGCATCACAGAAACGACAAGAGCTCGTGTAGTGTTTGTATAAAAACCACAGCTTTCATTTCAATGCTGTGTGGAAAATTAATACTGTCATTTTACTGCCCTCCGCACCGTGCATTACGTTTATCCCTGCTTCATAACTGCTTTCGCTGCATTTATTAGACACGATATACTTACAAAGAAATTTGGTTTATTTTTTAAGTGTATATTCTGTGTTTAATACGCAAAGGTTATGTGATAAAGTTAACTGAGTATGGCGTTTAGCGATAAAATGCAGCTGAAGCTGTTAAGGTTTCACTTACAGATCCGGATCCGACAGCCGTGAACTGCGCGTCTGGCCCCGCATAACCGGCAGTCCACCCGAGTCCAAGACGGGATAATACCCTCCGTCCTCCCCTCCTTACACCATCAATTGATCCTGTAATACCGCGAGATCTTTTGATATCAACCCATACGATGAGACCATTAGGTTGCCCTAAAACATTCCCAGGCTGTCTTTTTTATCTGTAAAAGCTAAATATCTGACCTACCACAGAAATTGCTGTCTCACTGCAGTAGTTACACGGGACAGCAATACATCAGTGGTTTAGCGCATTTGGTGCCGTGGGTGTGAGTATGACGGTATGGATGAGTGAGGGTGTGTGTGTATTGGGGAGAGAGGGAAAGAGGGAGAGAGGGAGGGAGGGAGGGAGGGAGAGAGAGGGATGCGTGTGAGAGTGCACTCGCCCGTTCGCATTACTCGAGTTCGCGGTAATAACTGAATGACCTTTTCTATGCCGTGTTATGTCTCACCGGTGAGGGATCGGGCTTGTAGATAATAAAGGCCCGCTTCTCTGTTGAACATCTCTCAGTCACCGATGGGTAAGTTGCTCTGAGCCCATCAGAACTAGCACGGCTTCGGATGGAAACTGGACACCTGTAGCTGGCTGCAGAGCCCCCCGGTCGCGGATCCATGCGGACCCCGTTTCTAACTTAAACAGCGCTTAACCCCCGAGTAGGGCAATGCCGATTTTGTGAACTTTTAGTTCAGTGGGGATATTGTTGAAAGGTGCACTACGGTACCTGTTTTGAACTGAGTCCTTTGCATAACTTGGCTAATAAGGTGAGTAAAGTGCAGCCGATGTTTTTTTTTTCTCTCGTTGTACGTCTGAATACAAGTAATATGGTTTTAAAATACTACGTCAATTTTTGTAAATTAATAAAATGCATTTTATGCTGTATTTTCGAGAGGTCAATCTAAAAATAATATCAAACAAATTTAAGTGGTGATATATTAATATTAGTATTGAGCGTGTGTGTCTAGTTATGGCTTATTGTTGTCAGTATATTGTTTGCTATGATTTCCTGCAGGCGTCAAAATGAATGGCTGTAATCACGTTTCAGCTGTCATGTAGGCTACAGTATCAACTGTGTTACGATTAATGTGGCGATGGCACTTATAAGCTTCAGAGTGTGGGGATGTGTGAATCGCTTAAAATGCTTTTAATGTTTAACACCTTATTCTTGTTCCGAGTTCTGGTACCTATCAAGGCTACGCCACACAAGTTGTCGGAAAGGTGTAGGGCTACATAAAGTCATGCTGTCGTAGTTAGCAGAATAACAGGCTATAATAATGTTCATTGTGTGCCGCACACAATCTCTCGATGTCCAGCAGTTTTTTTCGGTAGTTTACAATCACTTGAGAGCGAGTCATCTGAGAGAGAGTCCTATAGGGAAAAAAGCAGTTTACCGTCTTACCAGTGACGCTCATAAAGTCTTTGTTGCGGGATTGTCGCGTTTTTTCCCGCATCCTGCTCCGTGTTTAGGCTTTTGGTCAAATTTTCAATTCGGTTATGCAGCTTTTGTTTGTGCACCGATCAGACTCCTCCATGGTGCCCTCAGTCATTTCTGTGAGCGAGGAGCATGGGGGATTATGAGATCGCGGCGCCGTGGAGGGGGTATACATGTGCCTTTGTCCTCCACTGTCATTCGCTCAGCTTCACTCGCTTAGGCAGACACCGCTGCTGCGGCTCCCGATCGCCGGGCGAGCTTTACGTGAGACCTGCTGTCCTCCCTTCCTCGTATCGTTGGTCGGTTTCTTTTCCTTCTTTTCATCTTTTTGTTTTTTCCCTTTCTTGTCCTTCCTCCGGTGGTGAGGTGGATCGTTACCCGGAACAATAGCGAGCCACCCCCGGCGTGAGCGCATACAGCTGCTCATTTTGTCCCGGAGAGACGCGGATCTCGGGTTCTGGTCGCGCGGTGTTTTTTTTTTTTTTTTTTTTTTTTTCTTTTGCTTGTTTGTCTTTTTGGTTCGGAGGAGACGGACTGCTGGAGCAAGTCAACAAATGCAGAAAAGGGAGAAAAGTTTCGGTAAGATGTTCGTGTGCGGTTTTCACTTTATAGTATTGCTTCTTCAAAATCAGCTTTACGACGTGTCGACCTTTGAAATTCGGAATGCCGCTTTCCGAAAAAAATAAACTTGGGATCATAACATCAATTTTTGCTGAAGGTTAGTTATATATCGCCTTGAATGAATAATACTATTAATAGGCAGCATAAGTTTACATCGGTTATGCATACATGCCTGACAGTGTGAAAGTCTTTTTTTAATTTCTTTTGCTTTGAGCTTCGCGTTTTGAAAGCGAAATGCTCGGACTCTTTTGCTATGGCAGCGCAAAGTTATCGGACAAGCGATACTTTATCAGCCTAACCAGGGGGGAAACCGCACAGTGCCGCCGGTGATTGTTCAAAATAAAACGTTTAGCACTTGAGACGGGAAACGACAACTCGAAAAGTGATCCCCCCCCCCTCATTTTCTACCGCACCACCCGCCCCCCCCCATCCCCACTCGCTTTTTATTATGCGGGGGAGCTCGGCCGGGCAATCGGTTTGCTGTAGCAAATCTCAGCATTGTCGCATTGGCCTTTGCCGAGCGCTGGCACTTTGCTGCCATGGTAACTGTAATTAAACTGATAAGAGTGGGGGAAATGTCAGCATCCCTGAGTCCCGCGGCTCTGATGAGCAGACGGGGGAATTAAATTGCTTCTCCGCTCCGTCTCCCGGTACGCGAGTGAGTCTCCGCACCTTGCAACCGCTCAAAGTATAAACAGCGATCGCGCTCAATTTATTGCAAAATAAACAGCGGGTTTGGGACTAACTCCAAGCGATCACTTAAAATGCTGATTTAGAAAACGATATCCTCTCCTCACTCTTAAATAATCTTTTATTTCGCAGTCTCTAATTTTATTTATTTGGTATATAGGCCTTATTGTAATATTAACAGAGTGCTGTTTGAATAATGTGCGGCTTTGCTGTAAAGATGCGTAATGGAAATTTGTATTTGCAGACGTGATGGGTTTAACTAAAACCCCGCGTTTACAGCTAAGGGGACTTGAAACTCTTTCCTTTGTTAATGAGTTGCGGGTACTTCATTGTGTTAAACAGCGGAGCTGAGACGGTGCGGATGAACGATACAGAGCAAGGATGGACAAAAGAGGCAATCAACCAGGGTTTCTGCTTACAATCCAATCCAGCCAATTAAAAGCTCCCCTTTTATTAACGAAACGAAATAAAATAGTGTGCTATTACTAATGCGATAGCGTTTAAATTGTGTTTTCTTACTATTATTCTAACTTGTTATGGGAAGTATATTTTACTGTTGAAACTTAAGTAAATATCCTATTTTGAAGGAGCCAAACACCAATCATGCGATACTTTTCAAAGTTAGTAATTTAAATCTTAAATACATATACTGCACGGCGCATTGTTTTCGTATTATATAGACTAAACTTTGCAAATTTGTAAAGGCAGTCATTTGCAAAATTAGTTTCATTAATAGAAAACAGCCTCTTAGCAGTGTGAAATGAAGGATCCGCTGAGTTAGAATCAGTGTATTTGGATAAAAACAGCTTAAGATGATAAGCACAAGGATTTAAATACAGCTTATAGGCCTACATTAGATGGTATTATGTGTGCTGAGCAGTCAGTGTTTATATATAATGGAAAACATTAGACCTATCCAGAATTTATTATACAAATTGAACTGGTTTTCCGGGTGTTATCAAACTGCTACAAAATTAAGGTGCTAGTTTCAAAGGAGTTTAATATGAGAGAATGATCTTACTGGTACAAGAATGTGCACAATGTATACAGGTGCTCGTATCCTGAAACCTAAATATGGTAACGTGACTTTTCTATAACATTTAAAGACTGTTAGTTTTTTGCTGCTCGTCGCTGTTCTGCTTTCTGGGTGTTGTCTGCTTAACTGGAATAATTGATGATGCATTTTACCATATATTCTACATCTCTGAAGCACAGTGAAATTCCGCGATTTTGAAACCAGTTGTATAGGTTTTGTACGTATAGTTCAACAGCACGTATATTAAAGTACGGCATTAACGTTGCACTTTGAATGCCGAGCATTTAGGTTATAGAGCGTAAAGGAATGAGAGGATCTATGCAACATTAAAGTTCAGGAGTGGAGAGTAGCAGAGTAACAGAAATAAATTGGCAGGTAAAAGTGAAATTACTGTGTTTTTTACAGTGCAGGTAAATGTTAAATTTCTTCTGCAGCACTGTGGAAATGCCTGCCATTTTGTAATTATTGGCAGAAATTTGTACAGCCATTTCTAAAAATAATTCACATTGGTGACTCCAAACATGTTTCACTTTAATAAAAAAGTATTAGACAATTATTGTAATCTGGCTTATTTCATATTGCCCCTCTAGTGTATTTTTTTACTTGTTAATATTATTCATTGTGCGGTAGGCTTTGAGTTGTATTAAAAGGTAGCAACTACCTTCATTTGAATTCAGGAATATGTTTAGTGGTCTGTTTTGTTCCGATAAGGATATCAGCCCCAGCTTCTCAATTTTCTTGTCGGCACAATGTTCCAGTCGTACTTGTTTGATCGTTATTTTCTGACTTCAGTTTGTAAAGATGGCGAAAGGTAGGCCTGTTTATCTCCAGCACTGGAAAAAATCCAAAGTCCTGCTAGTATTCTCCAAAGCGACGTAAATCTCTATATAAGGATCAATCAGTATTAAGTGCAGTCTTTCACCCAATGACCAGTTACTAACGGACACTCATTTTGGTTGCGTTGCACCTTTGAGATTCATTGTGATTTTTCTTTCTTTTTTACTTTAGAAAACTGTACTGTAAGATGAAAAATGTAGGTATTATTGCTAATCAGCGCATACGGCGAAATGATGGCTCTTAATTGCATTCTTGGGATTCGAAGAACGGGCGCAGGGTGACAAGCGCCCGTGAGTAATATGAGCCCAGGTGGGTGGCTTGCAGGCGTGTCTGACATCCCGACTTGTCCCGCGGTACACGTGGGCGTGGCCTCGCGTAAACCGGCGACAAAAATCACGTCTCGGATGTGACAATTCACAGGGTGGCCTCATTCTTTTAGGGCTGTAACGCAATCCAGAAAACGAGGTCGCAGGAATCGCCGTTTCTTGTGCATCTCAGCACAATTTAATTAACTTGCAAGTCTTGGGACTCCCGATCGGCTGTGTGTTCCTCATTTGAGTGATTCTGATCTTTTCCGTGCAGGTGGTAGATGGGAGCAAAAAGTTAGTCCTACAAGCCGGGTGCTGCCTTGTTTCCAGCAATCGCGTGTTTTTCTGTTCATTATAAAGTAAAATAAACGGATGTGTGTGGGGAAGGATTGCAAACTTTTGTGCATTTCGCCATCGGGAGAGGCCCTTGTTCTGTCACCGCTAAACACCGAACTAACATATAAACAAATCATTATTCGCCGGCGGAGCGTCTCCACTCTTCACCCCAAGTTGGCTTCCCCTCTAAACATTTCCTTATTCATTACTGGGCAAGATGCACACGTCAACGTGATATAGCACCGCTGCGAAACACCATCCCACTTAAAAGGGGAACTTTTTTTAAGGGTTGATCACGCACAAAAGAAGAGAGGACGCTCGCCCAGCCCGTACGAAGGAAGAATGCTAATTACGACCTGTGCGTGAGCCCACATTGTTACTCCTGCATTTCAATAAAAAAGTCTTTCACACCCCGAGGAGGGGCAGACAATGGCAGTTCCTGCAGAAAGGCTTTGGGACGGGTCCCCGGAGGAAAGGGATGGGGGGGGGGGAGAGAGTTAGTGAGCGGCGTTGTGTGGGTGTGTGTGCGCGTGCGTGAGTCTAAACCAATGCCCATGTATCTCTTTAGAGTACAGTTAGCTGGAATTAATTACTTGCGCGTATTTTAGTTCGTTTCTATTAATAGCAGTACTGAATTCAGAGAGCTCGTTTTAATATTAATGTTTTTGTGTTTTAATCAGTTTTTAAACTTAACCAAAGTCCATGTTTATGTATAAGATTTTTTGGATATTACCTGTTTACCTGTACGGTCATTAGGGTAAATGACTGTGAGCGGAGTTCGGGCATGTCTTCTTTTTAATATCCCAACAACAGGTGATATTTTCTCCGATTAGTAATAATGTGTAAATTAATAAAATATTAGAGCTGAAATAATAAGACAGGGCTGATCTCGTTTATGACCTCCTTCAGACAAGGCCTGCGATGTTGCCCCCCGCCCCCAGGTTTCTCAGGCACCCCCTTAGATGGTCTCCCCTCCTTCCTGCAGGTATACAGATGCTCTCCGTCCAGCCAGACACCAAGCCCAAGGGCTGTGCTGGCTGCAACCGGAAGATCAAGGACCGCTACCTACTGAAGGCCCTGGACAAGTACTGGCACGAGGACTGCCTGAAGTGTGCCTGCTGTGACTGCCGGCTTGGCGAGGTGGGCTCCACCCTCTACACCAAGGCCAACCTCATCCTCTGCCGGCGGGACTACCTGCGGTAAGCTCCGCCCACCCTGCTCCACCCCTTCCCCTTTACTGCCCCATCTCCTCCGGCAACTTGGCCCCGCCTCCTCCACCTGCCTTGCCCTGCCCTCTGTACCGCGTGTCCCTCCACCCCCAGCATCCCGCTGGCCTCCCCGCTGCATCAGTGTCACCACATGACATGGATTTTAACCCTTAGTGTGTGATCCCCACCTTAATCCTAGTTCTGGCTGTCATCTATCCGTTCCCCTTTTTCCTGGCCATTATGAGCCGTGGGATCTGCCCGAGACGGAGTGATTCAGACCAGTCAGGGCATTGCGATTGGCCCCTGATGGAGAGCACTGTCACCCGCCTCGAGGTCTATTGGGGTGCCATCTTTCCATGATTACTTATTCCATGTTTTTCTGCCACGGCACCCGGGAGATGATTTGGTCGGGCGGATGAAACCGGCATGATTGAAGTCACAGGGACCACGGTCGCGGTGGAACGAGGCGAAGTCGTTGGCTGCGTAGGTCGAGACTGGTGCGTCATCCCCTTAAAGCACGGATACGTAAATCTGCGTGTTCTGCACCTCCCACCGGCAGTGGGGGGGGGGCACTGATGTAACAATTTATCTAAACTTGCACCAACAAGTATTGCTGTGACCGTTTGGGGTTGAGGAATCAGTCTTCAGGATTTCGCAGGAAGGCGATAAGCCCTCTTTTCTTGTACTAATTAACATTTTGCACAACTAAGGTGAGTGTAACCCCCCCAGGTCTGATATGGCTTAATCTAGCAAAACGTTTTAACATGAGCCAGCATGCGGTGCCAAAGTCTATGGGGTGATTTCACACGGCCGACGAGGAGCGTGGGCGTCCTGCAGACAATGCGGGGAACCTGTTAATCACAACCCCCGCGCTGCCGGTTTGACGTCACTCAGAGTGGGGCTTCCTTGAACCGCAGGTCGTCCTTGCGTCTGGCTGCCAGGGCCTGTTTTTACAGACGAATGTGGCTCTTTCTTTACTGTTGGAGGCAACATGTCCAGGGATGGAGGGGGATGGGAAGGGACCTGTTTTTCAGCCAGATGAGAGAGCTGCCAGGGGGGTGTTTGTTTCAAAATATGGAGCATCCTGGCCTGGCATTAGGTCACAAAGAAAATGGAGGGATTCTGTTATGGAATGGCTATGATGGTGAGGAATGAATGGCACCGTCGCACGGAGAGTTCCGGAAGTGTCCGTCGGGCAGCCACTAAGACTGGAATGCGCACGATTGATCCACTAGTCTTCGAGGGGTGCCTAACCCTATACCTAACCCTAACCCTAACCCTGTGCCCGAATTTCATGTTGTCCCTTTCTTTTCTTTCTTTTTTTTTTTAAATTCTCTCCCTGAGATTGAAAAACACGATCGCAGAAATGTGTTGTTCTCACGGAGGGGCCCAGACCCAGCGGAGCTATTTATTTACGGACGCGTTTTCTTAAACATCTCCGCCAGCTTTCCTGGCTTTCTCCCGAAAAATTTGCGCTTGCAGTAAACCCTCCTGCGACTGACCACAGGAACACGCTATCCCTGCCATAAAACTGCCTCAGATGTTTTCCTGCATTGCTTTCCTGCTTCAAACACGACTGAATCGCTTAAGCATTTTTTTTTTTAATGAGAGAATTGGCCGTTTGTTGCCCGTTAGCTGCCGAACGGCAAACACGGCGCCCGCTGCATTCCTGGGGAAGCTGTCCAGCTGCGAGGCAGCGAGACCCCGGCTGAGCCGAGCGTTTCTGTGCGCACCGAATGGCCACCAGGCCCGTGGCCTGTGTATCGCGCAGTGGGCTGCCTGTAACAGCATGACGATTCCAGCTTCACAGGACAGGAAGTTCTGCTGTTTAGCGAGATTCTGAAAACGTGTCGGTATGATAGAAATCTGTCGTCAGCTTATACACAGTTTTGTCGCCGATATGTTTTGGTTCTGTGCTGTAACACACCTGAACCGGCAGAGAATCACAGTTTGCTTAGTTAGCCAGCCTGCTTTGAGCTCGTTTTTAGGGGCGTAATACAAAACTGGTTTGATTTGGAAATTTGGTTCAAGTGTCTCCAAATACTGCCAAAATCCGATAAAACGTGTTAAAGCACACTACTGTCATGCTTCTTATTGTTAAGATCATATGATCAACTTCAGCAATATATAGTCTCAGATGGTTTTTGCAGTGAAAAGTAAATATGGTGATTTTCAAAAAATGTTTTGAATGTGTTTTTATTTCAAAAGGAGGACAATTCGATACATAACATTGGATGAAATTAAACCTATTTAAATTGTATCCAATCAGAGTTTAATCACAGTGTATTGTGTCTAGGTCTGTATCATGTTGTTTGAGAGAGAGATGCACACCCTGCTAAATTCACAATATCTAAATGTGTATGAATAATGCTACATTACAGAAACATGATGGGGAAATTTCAGGTGTTGAACATGAAAGAAGAGCTTTGAAACTGGAAGAAACTGGAAGAAAACTTGGTGTTGTAAAATGATTCTTATGTAATGGTCTGCTTAGGTTTGGAGGGGTCGCTTCCAAGCCTGTTTTTTTCCATTAGCTTGTTTTTTTGTTTTTTTTTTTAATGATAAGAGCTGCAGATTTGAGGGAGTTCAGTCAGCAAGGAGCATATGGTGTGGAGTGAGACGTCTGCCAGCATGGGGCCGCTGTGCATGTGCGCAGAGAGAGTGATGATCAAGTTAAATAACGACAGTGTCCTGTGTTTATTTATTTATTTCTGTGTGCTTAACCGCCCCCCCGAAGCCTTGTTGGCAGGAATGCTGCCCTACCGTGGCTGGGGGAGAGTGTTATTAGGCCACAATAACCAGGGTTAGTGGGATTCTGTCAGGGTGTACAACAGTGAGTGGGGTGATGTTTCCCATTAACTGGGTGGGGGGGGGGGATAATCGTAATGCACAAAGAAATAGCACAGAGAGCCAGATGAGTGTCCGGCTCGCCAGCTGACCACCCCCAGCGCGGCATGTGGTCCAGACCCACGAGAGCGGGAGGCACCGCAGCCCCACGGCTGTGAGGCAAACCCCTCTGTGTTTCCTCCCTTTTGTACCAGGAAGCATCATGTTAAATGGCAAAATGTTCAGTATTTTTTATTATTAGAAAATGGTGACAATGCTGATTGAGACAGAGCTATACTAGCTGGGCCTTTTTAAGTCACCCCATTTATATTAGCGGATTTTCTCCGTACACAATAAACGCATATATTTATATGTTTGTTCCTGATTCCCAGTGGAAGATTTACTTATGCAGTTGTGTGTGAGTGTGTGTGAGTGTGTGTGTGTTAGGGACGAAAACTGGAATTATGATTTAGTAACAGTTCAAACAAACCACTGACTGATGACTAGGATCTTGATTTGGACAAAGGCGCAAGGCGGCGTAAGTCCTGACCTGGGTGGGGGTTGGCGTGGGTTTTTTGACAGAATGTCCTCCGCCTTGTCCAGTCATCGAGAAGCTGGACTAATAAAAATGTTACCTGCGAATGTGTCCGACGAGCCATACCCCCATTTCCCAGCATCTCGCCCAATGGTCGACAAGCCATACCCCCTTTTCCCAGCGTCTCGCCCAATGGTTGGGCCAGCCGCGCTGCCCCCCGCTGCCGATCCTGCGGTTGCACCCTCCCGTATCCTGAACGGCCGGCGTAAATATTACAGCGCGGTTCTGCTCAGAATCGGCAAAGCTGGTCAGTGGGAGGGGGGGCTCTGATTGGAATGGTCCACCCATCCAGACACATCCTGGGGCTCTTTTTTCCCTGCAGACTGCACTCTGTCCTGGGGGGCCCCGGGGCTCGGGTGGGAGGCCCCAGTGTTTAGTGCTGACATGCAGCCTGTCACTTTGTTTCTATGGCCTGAAGGTGGCGCTACGGAGTCAGTGTCTTCTCACCTTTGACTCCTGATATCAAGCATAGTGTCCAAACAGCAGGTCCCCTATTTGCACCAGTAGCTTTTTCTCTTCAGAAGACTCTTATGTATTTTGATGGCTGTTCCCTTGTCCTTCTTTAGACACAGAAGCAACGGAACCTTACAAAAAGCTGCCCCTTCAGCCGGCCTGTAAGGCTGGATCATAGCTCTAAATAATGATAACAAACTAAAATGAAACAAACACTTAAAACTCTTATATTTCTGGAATGCATAGCCCCCTGCCTTCGTATCGCTGTAATTAACGTTAAATCCTTTCGGAGAGCAGAGTCTCGTGTCTCGTGTCGGAGCTACTCTTCACAGCAGCATGAGTGACGGCAACTTTAGCATTAGCGAAAGCTGTTAGACGTCCCTTAATGAAAAACCACAGCCGGGGCATACGTCTGAAAAGACAGCACAGGGAAAAAGGTTTATTTATGTATCTGTTCGCTCATTTTTTACTGCAACTTCAATTTTCCTCTAGAGTGGTTTTACAGAGATTGTAAATGCGAGCGGAAGTGCGGGGCTGTCAGGGTGTTGAGATTTATTAGCGTCCTGCTAGCCGGCTATCAGCGTGAGATAACCAACATGTGGAGCGCGCTTTGTCGCGATCACGCGCCGGACCCAGCTGTGGGGCGCCTCTCCGGGTCGATAGCGGCGCCGGGCTCGCGCTAATGCTAATGTTCAAATTAACCGGTGCAGCCTCAATTTTTTATTTTTTGCCAAACTGATGTTTTGTGCATCAAGAGATGCATGGTGAGGCAGAGTGAGATGGACGACTTCCAATGTAGGAAGTTGCAGGGCAGCAGATGTTGTTGTGTGGGTCCAAATTACGGACTTCGGAACTGAAGGTAACCAGTTTATTATATACAATGGCGTACTAATGCAAACAGCCTGCTCTTCTAAACAGCCAATCAGGAGGCTCGCTTACTGTTCAGCTGAGCATTTGAAAGGTTAAGATGCCTCATCACAGTGATTTTAAACACGGTGTGATTGCTGATGCCGGATGTGGTGGTTTCAGCATCACAGCAGCAGCCACCGTTTTAGGATTTCCACACACCACAGTGTCTTGCGTTTCCAGAGAATGGGGTGTCACCCAAAAAGCACCC